CACAGGTGCATTCCCATTTGATAATGGTCAAAATGGTCTACATATACGTGTAATTCCCCTGCCCCCAGTTATCTTTGGATCCTCGTCATTTGCTGCCTAGGCTCTAACCTGTCTTAGTTTCCATACGTTTTTAAAAATAGGACGAAAAAATCACTAAACAAAAGACGTGTGATTGTTGTCATGTTGCAAAAATGTGAAAAGATATATGTGATATTTCTGATTTCTGAATTTGTTTGTGTGCTCACAAATACTTTTTGGGGTTGAAACCTTCCAGCATGTATGAGAAGCGCATACATCACATCAGTGCCTTGAATAAATGTTTGCAGGTTAGGGGCCTGGACTGATTCTCATCCTGTGTGATTAAAATTAATTGCTAAAGTAGGCCTATAGGTAATAAAAGAACCAGAATCAGTCCATCAAAAACTTGATAAGTCACATATTGAATAGACATTAGCAATATCATTTAATATAAAAATGAACAAAGCGAAACAAATATTGATGGAAAGAGCAAAAGTTAGATTAAATAAATTCACGAATTTGATTTCTTTTTTAGTGCGAAGGCTTACTATTCCCATAGGCATAGGTTTCATTGCAGATTATATCACTCGTAATTACATGCGTAATTGTGGTGTTCTTATTTGTACATGAATATTACTGAGGGAAGACCAGGCCTCGTGACGTACTACACTAGCTACAAATAAATGCGGCTGTACTTTTGTAAACTGCTTTGATACAAAGGCTATTCACATTGAGTGATCAGCGTGCTTTGAAGTGTGACCTATGCACCCGCTGATGGTAAGCCTACTCACCTAGTCTTTAAAATATTTTTTCTTTCTATTTTATAATGTTAATTTCTCTAGATCTACAGTTTCAAAAGTATTTTGGGGCACAAAGTCCGACATGGATATGACAAAGTGGTTTTGAAGGATGTCTGCACTTCGGCTGTTAAAGGAAGGAGGGTGAATCTCAAACCGTAGCAAGTTTTCTAAATGTATTTGTATTCCATAAACAGGATTAACCAAAAACTTGTTTCTTATTGTTACCTGGCACTGCTTTGGCCTGTTTCCCCAAATAAAGACGTGCCCGAATTCAGATACAAAATATTCCCAAGTACTCCCAAAGAATAAGGTCTCGTCTGTAATGGTGTCGCCCTCAAAGGTAGCAGACTGAGTGATTATAGAGGGCGTCCTTCATGTCCCCACGAAGCCCTGGCAAAATGAAATGAACTTGGTACTCAGCCGATTTTAAGGTTAATATTTTTGTGCACTATAGTGGCTGCACTTCTCTTGTAATAGAATAAGCGTCATACATAAACTGTAACATTTTTTTGTATGTTGAAAAATTATGTCTATACTTTCAACTGCCGCCACCTATCACTAAAATATAAAATGGAAGTGTAACAAAGATTACTTTAATTAAGTAGAATGTTATTGTTTCAACAAACTTTCATTTTGACCTATGACGAAAAAGTATTAATTTAACTTTAACACCGCATTGTTTCTTTACTCTTACTGAGCATCTGATTTACAAAGACAAGGATCAGAAACGTTTGATATAGATGCATTTTAGAGCAAATAAGCTAACGTGCTATTATAAAGTATGTTTTCATGTAGACAATTCCAGTTTTTCATTACATTAGCAATAGACTCTGATATAGCAATTAACAGCAATTAAAATATTTATCAATTAATGTTGTCTCACACTGGATTTAATCATATTTGGAAACAGTAATTAACATTTGGACAAATAAAGCAAACTGCGCATGAAGATCTCAGACTGCTAACCAATTTCTCATCAAGATGAAAATGCAGATGATAATTAGGCTACGTGGAAAACAACAGCTGCTCTCATCACATGAAAGTTGGTCACGATATTCATGAAAATGCAATGACATAGAACGACTCCATGCTCTCTGACTGGTTACATGTATAAGAAATCAACCATTTAGCAGGAGAAAGTAACATGTCCTGCCTCATCGACAAGTTACCTCTCTGTCCAGAAGCCCTGATGCAGATCACCAGCTCCTGTGCCTCATTGTGAACAGTTGCGTTTGTTTTATAGGTTATCTAAAAATACATACGAATTGAGAAATTAAATACATAATTCCTAAGATGACGCAAGTCAGTGTGAAAGGTCAATTATGAGAGAATGGCATCATATGTCGTTGGGCACTAATTAGTAATTTTAGCAATATCAACAAATGAAAGAAGTTTGATACATCAAATCTTTCTGTGGTTGGACACAATACGTGTGCATCAAATTAGTATGGAATTGTCACTTGTTTGAGTGAAGGAAACGGTACTTGTTTATAGTAGGGAAACCCAAACCATTCCACATCAATCAGTTTACCTTTTTGATGTAGTCATTAGTTAAGAAGGAAGTAGAGAGAACTCTCTTCTCTTTGAGAGTAATGAAAGAAATAGTAAACAGGAATATGAAAACAAATATGTTACAACAAAATAATTAATTTTAATGAAAAAGCATACGCAATGTTTATGATGTTCTGGTTTCTCTTTTCATGCAGTAATTATTCAGCAACAATTTTTCGGATCTAATAACGGCTAGAGTCAAAATGAAAACAGTGTATCCGCCCAAGCTGAAGTGCACCCCCAATCGACAAAAGAAAGACAGGTGATTACAAGCGGGTTCTTGCATGCGTTCTGCGTGTACGCAAAGGTCCAGTTCGGGCGGCCTGTTCTTCACACAGGTTTCTTGTTCTCACGCTTGAACGTCGGGAACACTACCCAAGAACACTGTTCTCGGAACAGGATCACACACCACCTCCTCGTCAGGGTTTTACAGGAAAACATGGAAAAACTTGTGAGATGAGCTGCAAAAGTAGAGAGATGCTGACAAAGCTAGAGACAAGGGGAAGTTTGGCAACATTAACATTAATTATTTCCGGGACAAAGAAATGAATGTTCCTGTTTAGATAGAAAAGAATTTAGCCCAGCTATCCAAACATTAACTCTCGATTCGTGCATGGACGCCGCCGTGTTGCATGTCGCTTGCCATTAACCACCAGCAACGATCGGGTGTATGTTCCCGGCATTCGAGCGGTCGAATCACGCACAATAAACCGATCTGTTCGTGTACATACGAGAACAAACCGCCCAAACTTAGCCATTGACCATTATGCTTACAAGTCGGAATGAATTTTGCAGAGAAAGGATAATGTAAAGAAGGAGTGTAGCCGGCTTAAGTAGCTACGTGCAGGAGTCATTTTGTTATGAGAAGAGATTCACTATCAGGAATGCATTGTGGGATTTTTAATGTCAAGCTTACCACAGTTGGCATAAACTATTCGTTGTCCTCGGGTCGTAATTTTCAGATGTATCACAACGGCAATCGTGATCATCCATGCTTAACAGAAGCCATGAAGCTTGCCACTAGAACATCTAATAGATAGATAAGTTGTTTTCCCACTAATTGGTTTACTTCTTACAGACAATAACCCCGATCTTTTCCATAGTTCCAGATTAGAACTATAATTAAGAGTTAACAATTAATTTGTCAGCACGTTTAATTTCTCCAATTAAATGTTTGATCCTAATATATGCTTGAATCACGTGATCTCTGGACTTTGCTTCCAGGCTTGTTTGTAATTCCTACCTGAAACCATCGTGTTGTAAAAAACATTTGAGCAGATTTTATAACTGTGTTGGTTTTGTTGTTCGTAGTTTTCCGTGTACAACCAATGGGTGCTTGCATCGTTTGTCGATTTGGTCAAATCTGTCGATTTCTTTTCTCATGAAACATTTTTTTAGACCTGCTTTCTTTTTGATAGATTGATAATTTCCACAGATTTTTTTTCAAAAATGTTCGGCGTCCTTCCCTAGTTTCTTGGTATAAAAATCCCCCTGATCCTTTTCCTTTATGAACGACGCCAGCATCGCAAACAATTCTGTTCTTTTTCTGTATTGCTACACTAATCCATCAGGCGAATGCCAAACATTTTGCAGTGGAATCTCTCCAATTGCAATGTGTTCAACTTTTGCAAATTCAAAGCACCAATATTTGATATGAGGTCACAATTAAAAGAACAATAAAAACTGATTTCAAAATATTTGTTCAGCTTCTTCAGCATTGAGTAGTAAGAGTAAACTTGAGGGCAAGGATGGGGGGGAGGGATGGTTAAACCTCCTTCCTGCTCACTGATGTGGAGTACGTCTAAAGGTTGCAAGGGCCTTAAAATCATAAACCGTTAAAGGTCTTGTTTTACGTGAACAGCTATAGGGACAAAAACAGAGGTTAAATGGTTTTATCAACGGCCACAACTATAATGTAGTACTCTCCACTATGTACGAACACAAATGTACCGCCCCCCGAAAAAAAATCCTGGATCCTATTGGCCCTGGTTGGCAGCTTTCACTCTGTCCTCTACATGAGAATATGATTCAATAAATCCTCGTTAACATTTTTTGGGAGGGGGATAAAAATTGTCTTCACGGTAATTTATCCAATTCCCCCCCCCTCATAATTTGTCAGTAGTTCCATAAGGTACCCTAGATAGACTTAGTTTTGCATTTCCTAAAATATTACCCTGTACATTTCGAGCCAGAAATACTTTGGAAAGCCTGAAGATCTTAAATAGGAACATGTTTACATGCATGTGATTTTAATTAAGGATAAAGAAACCGACAAGACAAAACTGAAAAAAATCAAAATAAGAATAAACACAAACCAATCACTCCATAAAAGGAGCATCTCTAAACTACAACATCAACGATAAAGCAACAACTAACAAACACAACCACACACTAAGAAAAAACTACACAAACATCTACAAAATTAACACCGCCCTGCTGTTAAACCCGCTGGTGGGTACAACCCAAAATAGACTGAGTACGAGACCCTTCAATTTACATATGACCTTGTGGATACTCTTGCAAATAATTCATACTCATACGTCATGGGAAAATAGAACCATTGAATATGAGGAAGGAATTTATAAAAGTCATTGTGTTGAAACGGAACAATTCATCTCAACCTTGGGTGGCTGTGACTATATATAGCCGCGCATGCTTTTCATGTCTTTATCAAGTTGTTATCCTTTGCCGCGTTCATGCTGACAGTTATTTGACTGTTGCTTTGGAGGAGTAGGGAAAGGCCATTGTAGCCTACAGCCTAAAGAGATTCAGCACTACATGTATCTTCATACAAAAAGCAAACTCATTGTTTTACGTCAACCACCAGTATTCCGAAAATCTTCATCAGATTTTGAGAAGGATCTTCTGCACAGAGGTAAGATCAGAATAATAAACGGAGCTCCCCGTTTTTCAGTATGGTGTGCTTGTGCTTGTTTATCATAGGCAAAATAGCCACCGACTATGCAGGCTCTAGCTATATGCTTATGCTGCATGAGCTATTTTCATGTGGTGATAAAGTAAAGCTGTCTACGTTTGAAGAAGAACGACATAAAAAGATGAATAAACGCAAGTGTGCATCAGTGTAAGTCAAGAGTTACATTGATGGCCATTCATTACTAGGCCTAGAATAAAACGTATTAACTACAACTATCAACTCACCTTCCCACTCCTTATACTAAACCAAATTATTCTTTCATGGATGGTTGTCTTTTTTGAATCAGGTCAAGAATGACGTCACATGTTACATGTGTAGTCTATGCATCCTCATGGAGAGGTGTGCTATTCCTCTCCATCATGCCAAACCTTGCAAGAAGTTTCATTGACTGTACTGGTATAGGTATTGGTAGGCCTTATCATCCGTCTTGCTGCATCCCGCGTAAGTACATAGGCCCTAAACGTTTTCTACATACAGGAAAATCTGACACTTTAGAACCACACATTCCCATCTTTTTTTTAGACGTTCACTTTCCCTAACGATCCCTCCGATCTTTACATGACAGAAATTGTCGACAGGAACACAGTCAACCCAACCTTCATTGTTAGACCTGTTACTGTTGATCGATGGGAATTGGATGTTAACATCAGCTGGGCCAAGCCTCAAGGAGAGATGAGTATGATCAATAACCAGTCGTCATTAAATTATTGATTATTCATGTTAAATTACAAAAAGTATGGTAGAGAAAAGCCTTAAGCCTTGCACATATTTAATTATTAAACCATTTTCTCCTCTTTCCCATTGTCTTTGGCTCGACGACTTTACTTTCTTCCCACTTCCCTTTTCTCAGATTTTGATGCTTATGGTGTTCATAGGTTAGATTACACCAGACTTCCTCCAGTCATTGCCAGTTGTGACGATTATTACTCGAACTTAATCATTGTCGTAAGTTTATTTTTGGCTCTGTACGATTTTCTTTGACCATTGTAAAGAATGCATTTGAGCTTGACTTGATTTTAATCAATTAATAGATGCTTGTCATTTATATTGGAAGTATCAAAAGGGACAATATAAACTCACGCCTAAATGCTGTTGACTTAGTATTTATTGCATTCTTCCTTTTTAGCAAGTGGAGTGGATACTTTTTAGAAACGTCCCTTTTGGATCGACCCCGTTTTTCATTGTAAGTGAAACTTCAGATCTAAATAGAGCTGCTTTGTAAAGTTACAAAATTGCAAATGATTATTATACATGATCATAAGCATCGGCAGAATTTCATTTCTATGTTTATGTACTAAAAATAAACACCGATCGAAGAAAGTTTTGTTGGTTTAAAGACAAAATGTGTGATAAATCAGAAAACTAGAAACAAGAAATGAAATAATTTACCAGAAATCTAATTTTCATATGAATACTTTTCCTACCATCAGGTTTTTACCGCCAACCGAACAGCTGAGCTCATTAACCGAGAACAAAGTATCAAGGAAATCGCAATGGCAGGTAACATGTTACATTCAAACCGACTGGGCTATGAACATTAGTTTTGTTGACTTTGCCATGCACCTCTTTTGTGTATTAACGGACGTACTTCGACCAATAATATACTTACATTTGTTGGTTAACTGTTTTCTGCATGGGACTGCACTTAATAGTCGTGTATCTTGACCCCAGCATGACGTATAAAATTTACCACTTTTGTTGTACTCAATTAAAAATTCCTGTTTCTAAACTTCCTAACATGTGCCCAATGATACCTTTGTTTATAAATTCAAATCAATTCAGTTTAAAAGAAAAATATTATCAAACACTCTACAAACGTATCTCATTCCAAAATATATTTCTGTTTTCAAACCATTTTCAAACATCATGATCTCAGAAGGGTGGATTTCTAAATATTCAACATTTTCAGCATCTTTTGCTTTTTGATGAGTGACATAGTGGGATTGAAATGCCAACTGCTTCATTAATCTTTCTTCAATAGATTGCTACGACAGTACAAGGAGTATTTCCTTCTGTCGAACACAAAGTAAGTTCTTTTAATAACTTTTGTTGGTTTTATGAGCCAAAGGTTCATCATGGAATATAATTCCAGGTAAAAAGTTGGCTTTGATTTTCGAAAATCAAAAATGTTACAGTTCTAATGTTGTATACAGTCCCTTTGTTGACTAAATGAGAGCAAGTGCGATTTGGAGCCTTTCCAAATGTTGATGAACACTTTTCAGGTATAGAAGTGGCAGGGAGTCCGATCGACTTACGAGTGGACTTGATAATTGCGGAGGAGCAAGCGGGAGATGCCACACCCATAGTTTCAGTTATGGTGTCATGGAACCCACCAGTACAGATCAAAAGCAATGCCACGTTGGTAGGATTCGCTCTTGTGTGGTACATGAACGAAGCTGTACAGCTACCAGCAGTTAACATTGCTGTCCCGATGGTAAATATTAACTCGATTGTTTTGTTTTCAATGCGTGACATCTGTATCATATCCTGAGAGGCAATTTCAAACTTCCATTTTTTAACATTTGCGCGAAGTAAACTAAACTAGTTGAAGGGGTTTCCAATTGAAAAAAATCTATCACTTTTCTTTCAGAGCTTTTACATGTTCTTGAAATACTGATTGACATGAAATGGTTTAATGAGGACTTCATTATTTTACTAAGTTTGAAAAAAAATTACGTGTTTTGTGGTAAGCTCGAGATCAATATCCTATAGAGTATTGTTGATATTCATAGACTTATCAACTGATAAATTCCACTGCCTAAGCTTCTGA